CAGAGAAGTGAGTTGTGAACAAGCAAGTTATAAGTTTAATCGTGTTAACAAGTAGTAAAGCGTTGTTATTCCTTTAACAAGTATTTTAAAGTGTTTTTACTGTATTAGCAAGTATTGTAAATTGTTTGTTGTACAATAAAGTTAATTGTACCACAATTTGGTCATCGTTAGCATTTATTTAACAATCCAGCGATACGAGCCGGAAGATATTTGGGAAATCCCTCAAGGCTTCGAGGATAATCGTAACAATTGGTGTCAGAAGTGGGATTGTTAAATAAATCCCGAAGGATAAACTACTGAAATTGGCAAAAATTCAGGATCTAAAGATTGAGGAACTCAAGCAGGAGTTGGAGAAACGAAATTTAGCAACCTCCGGAAGAAAAGTGGAGTTGCTATCACGGTTGCGAGAGGCTATGGAAAAGGAAGGTATCGACGTTGAGAAATACGACTTCCATCGTGAGGACGACGAGGCATCCTTGAAGGACAAAAGACAAGGAAGAGGATGCTGGTTCATCGAATGATGTGGAGCAGACATCAACGAAGCTTGAAGAGCAAGGAAAGGCTCCTTGTGCGTCAACGGCTATAGACATGAACATGTTATTGGGCGCCATATCACAGATTTCATCCCAGCTGCAAGTGCAGGAAACACGCATGTGATCGCAGTTAGATGAAAAGATTACTCAGCTACAAGAGAATTTATTCAAAAATAATTCGGAACTCAGAGAGACAGGATAAAATCGAGGAACAAGATAAAATCGAAGCGCTTATTAAGGAAAAACAGGACAAAGTCGAAGCTAAGGTGGATGAGCTTGAAGATCGTCTCCGGGGTTTGCAGTTGAGTCGTCCAGCTAATTCGACGAACGCTCCCAAGGTAAAGACTCCATCCTTTGATGGCACTATTCCTTTCCAGGTCTTTAAGCTCCAGTTTGAGAAGACAGCTACAGCAAATCATTGGAGCATGGAGGATAAATCCGCTGCGTTATTCGTCGGATTGAAAGGACCTGCAACGGAAATTTTGCAGACTATTCCCGACTGTGAAAGGTACATTTACGATGCGTTAATGGGTGCAGTGGAAAGACGTTATGGTAGCGAGCACAGGAGACAGATTTACCAGATGGAGCTGGAGAATCGCTGCCAGAAATCCAACGAGACTTTACAGGAATTCGCCTCTGAGATTGAAAGGCTGGCTCATTTGGCAATTGGAGACGCATCTGGTGAGCACCTTTAAGGGGTAAAAATCCAGAGGTTCATCAACGGAATGCGGGACATGTATACCAAGCGAGAGACGTACGCGAATCCAAAGGCAACATTTGCTGAAACCGTCTCGTATGCTCAGACGCGTGAAACAGCTGCGCTCCTAAGTAGACCAGCCTACAAAGCACATCGTGTGGAAGTGGAAGCACCGGAAGAGACAAATGAAATGCTGAAGAAGATTATCCAACTGCTGGGCGAGAAAAGGAATGGCTCAGGCAAATGTTTTAAATGTGGAAAGCCAGGCCACTTCACCCGCGATTGCAGCGCAAGTTCCAGTGGGCTCAACAATTCAGCAGGACGCAAACGCAGGGCTGAAGGAGACGAAGCCAACTCCAATCAGTCGTTAAACTGAAACGAGCCAGCAGGAAGGGCCGCGTGCTGGCTCCAGAAGTTGAAGGGCCCATAATCTCCGTCTCACAAATTGGCCGGGAAGCATGCAATCTCACTGTTGGTGGATGTGTGAATGCGCAGGAGAGAGTACTGACAGTACTCTGACTGTACAAAACACCGCACTCAGGACAGCGACGGGATGCCTCTTGATGTCGCCTGAACACCACCTGCACGGCGAGGCGCAAATGCTCCCGGTAAAGGAGCATAATATAATGCTCTGCAAGCAGTTCCTGATCGGGAGCCACAGAAGTGGCCACCCAAGCAGACAGCTGCTTGCAGAGGAGCCCTCGCCTAGGCACGTCAGGAGGCATCTATATGAACTAACGGACGAAGTCCAGAGGTTCATTAAGCAACCTCTGGACCCGACAGCTTACAGACAGGCCCTGAACGGCATTCACAGGGACTCAGTCTCGAGTTATGTAGACTCTAGACCTGTGAATGCCGTTCTAGGCATACCACCCCCGGACATAGACGAGACGGAGCTTCATCTGCCTCGGGAGACACGCACTACACTCGGACAACTTCGCTCCGGCTACTGCAGCAGGTTAAACTCCTACTTGAGTAGGCTGAATGAGGATGTGCCGAACGAATGTCCGGCATGCGGAGAGACCCCACATGACTCCAAACATCTCTTCGCATGCCCGGCAAACCCGACATCCCTAACGGCCTTGTCCCTATGGGCAAACCCCGCAGAAGCTGCACGCTTCCTAGGGTTGCCGTTAGTGGAACTTGACGACAACGACTGAGATACCAACCGACCTGGGCGGGGTTGTTGTAGCCGCTACAACAACAACAACAACAGTGGATACTGGAGCGACACATTCCATTATTCGACCGGATTTGGCCACTTTTTATGTGAAGCCACTACCTGGAGCAACGCTGCAGACTGCAACTGGTGAACGCACCCAAGTGTTAGGAGAAGTACCATGCGAGGTAATAATCGACGGTTGGGCCTCGTACACTAAGTTTATAGTGGCAGACATTGTGGATGAAGTCATCATCGGCGTGGATTTCTTACTTGGCCAAGGCATGAAGATTGACCTCCTGACAGATCGTCACAGGAAAGTGCCACTTAAGAGTTGGTTACGACAGCCAGTACTGCAGCAAACGGTTAGTCTTAGAGGAAGTGTCGTAAATTCCACCTGAAACGAAAGCGGTTAGTTGGGCGGAGGTTGGCAGTGATGGAGACGGAGTGGTTTCGTCAGGAGAAGGAAGCGGTTCACCGATACAGGAAAAGCGTGACGGTTCCGCCAGCTCAGTGAAGAAGGGGTCGCAGCAAGGAAGTGGTCATGGCAAGGCAGGCAGTGTTTCCGGCAGGAGGAAAGCCGGTAAACCACGTTGCAATGGTGATAAGCCGGTGGCCGGAAATGGAAGCGGCTGTGGAAGCAGTAGGCGCGCTTTGAAGTGTCCCGTAAAAGGTGGTCGGCAAAGGCGAGCAGTTAAGCCGGAAGCCAAGGTTGAGATTATACATGTCCGGTCAATGAAGTTAGGATCGGCGGAAGAGCGAGATACGAAACGACGGCGAAAGCTTCAACGTAAGGATCCTTATGTAACAAGATGTGCTAAGGGCAGTGCAGCACGAAGGCGGGAGTCTGGGTGCCATGGACAGATGATGCGGCATATATCTGGCGAAAAGGGTGCCCACGAGAAGAGACATGGTCTGGTCACCACCCGTGGCCGGCAGAAGCACGACCATGTGAGATGGTGCACTCCCGGAGATAAGCCGGAAGCAATGTCCAGTAACGCATTATGGTTGTACATGTCGCAGCAGAAGAAAAGCCTTACCTACAAGCAAAGACTTGACTGGAAAGATCCGTTTGACAAACGGCTGAAGGACGCAGTGCATCGAATCCAGACAAGGGGAGACCGAGGACCAAGATGAAAGTGGTCCACTTGGAAAGACTTGCAGCGGTTGGAGCGGCAAGTATGTCTGATCGGGACGATGACTTAGGTGGAGCGCAGTGTGGCGAATACTGCGGCAACACAAAGCGAACAACGAGAAATAGGCAGAATGTTCGAGGAATGACGTAGAATGTTCCACAAAGAGAAACGTCAAGTTGGATGAACACTGCGAACAGCGAGAGACAGAGAATGAGCGATAAACTTCAGAATGTTCTAGAGTTGCCATAAGTGCCAGCGCAGGTATATAAGGGCGCCGCCACAGCGAAGTTAGTTAGTTACAAGTCAGCAAGCTACGAGTAAAGTGAGCAGAGAAGTGAGTTGCGAACAAGCAAGTTATTAGTTTAATCGTGTTAACAAGTAGTAAAGCGTTGTTATTCCTTTAACAAGTATTGTTAAGTGTTTTTACTGTATTAGCAAGTATTGTAAATTGTTTGTTGTACAATAAAGTTAATTGTACTACAATTTGGTCATCGTTAGCATTTATTTAACAATAAAGCGATACGAGCCGGAGGATATTTGGGAAATCCCTCAAGGCTTCGAGGATAATCGTAACAATATAATACACACATATATATTCACATATTCGTTTTTTCCGCCTTAATCTCTGAGGTTTCGGTCAGTCTGGCGTAAAAATATATGCGACTAAAATGCACCAACCGTGTTAGTGGTCAATCCAATAAAGAGAACTTTCACAAGTGCCGCTGGCCAATTTACAATTTGTACCTATGTATGTATGTATTAAGTGTTTGAAATTTTATGTTCAAATTCTAATAAGAAATGTAAACAAATGTCGAAAAAGAGAGAGTGGTGCCTACTTAATTTAGAAATCTTTCGGGTTACTTAACTCTGGGCCATTTTTCAATGCTGCAAGATAATGTCTGGTTTAGGAATACAACAATTTAATTCTTCGCTACTTAACTATTTTAAACTTTTATTCTTTATTCAAGGTATATGAGGATTAACTTTTCTAAATACACTTTGTTTCTTTCTTGCTTCACCAGGTTCAGCAGTTCGGAAAAGAGTGAAGTTGGTTGTCTTTCGCCAATACCAACTTCACACTTTTCTACAGTACAGGGTTGCTTTATTTGGTACTCGGTACAACTCGGCCCACCTGACTATGACCGACCTCGGTCTCAAACTTTATATTACATTTATGTTTAGACTGTCTTAGGTACTAATATTTGCATGCTGTACGTTACAGTGTTCAATGTATAATTACTATACTGTACAATTCATCTTAAATTCCAACGCTTAACTGCTACGTATTATGTTACAGTGTAAGTTTATAGCCTATTATTATCCGTTCGACTCATCAACAGAAGCGACCTTTTCAACGTTTTTATCGACCCACTTTCGCATTCTATTCGCTTCAATAACGCCATTATACGGCAGCTGAGTTAGCTGGCAATTGTCCACGTCTCTTATGACATACCTGTAATTTCCTAAAACCTTACAACACTACATAGGGTCCTTTGTATTTAGGGAAGAATTTCTTGTTTGTTCCCACTACTGTATCTACATTTCGTATAACAACAAAGTCACCTACTTTATACTCCTTCGCCTTCACACTATTCTTCAGGAAATGACTTAAATTGTATTCTTGCTTCTTTTCAATAGCTTCGGACGCGCTCAATCTAATTTTCTCTAAATCTCTTGGAATGTTTTGATTTACTTTATCCTCTATGTACTCCGTAAACTCATCTATTATCTCGCCTCTCTGCTCGACCCCAAATAGGAGTTTGATTGGGGAACTTCCCGTAGTACTGTGAATTGAATTGTTAATGACATATTCCACTTGAAAAAGTTTACTTGACCAATCCGCATGATTGATTGGCTCGGTAAGCTTTCCCAACATTGTCTTTAAGACCCTATTTACACGTTCTACTTGTCCATTAGCTTGTGGGGAAGCAACTGCAAGGTTTGGCACTTTGAATTGGGGGGTTGTTGCAGAAATAACCATATTTTTATAAAAATTAGAGAAAAATAAAATATTTAAAAAATAGTTGCCCGTATTGTAAAAAATTCGCTGTACCTAAACTTAATTGACTGACTGTACATGTTTGTACATAAATTAACTTTTTTTCAAAAGAAAATATTTTATGTTACTACTCAAAATTATATTTATTTCTGAGCATTGTTAGAAATTTAAAAATTTATTTTTTATTTTGCTTTGTACTGCTCCGTACTTGCTCCTTTGGGGAGCAGCTAGCTTTCAATCCCGTGGGGTTTGAGCTGCTTTCCACATACGTTTTGTATAATAGTAAGTATAACCTGGCTTCGTAGGGATTTTATTTATTGAATCCTGCCATTTTTTAACTCAAAAAAAAAAATATTGAGTACAAAAATATGCGTACTAATTTGTTTATGAAGATGATATAATAATGAAAAGTGATTAGTGCAGTGTTTAGGTGTAGAGACAAGTACTCGTTATACCAGCTGCGGTGTGAGAGGCGATGATATTAGACGGCATTTTTTGAATTTCCAAACACATGTAATTGGGCTTCAAAATGCTGCTTGCTGTGACGTCGAAACATGTATACTATCATCGTCTTCGTGCGTCTTACGATAATTGACGATTTACTGATGCTTCGCTGGTATTTCGGCAAAGCAAATGAAATCAGTTGCTGTTGAGAGTTTTCGGATACAAAAAGTTTTCTTACATTCCAAAACAATGTGGTAGATTCAAATAAATAAATTTATAAACATATTATATGCACTTATGATCAGCTGATTAAGTTAAGTGACATTTTGACCAGTTTTGGCTATTTATATTTTTTGTTTATTTAATGTTTATCTTTTTTTTTGCTGACGGTGCTAGGCAATTTCTGCCTATCATTGCCAATCATTAAAAATTAACGCTATTTCTTACCACTTGAAATTTGCACTTTGAGCTACTAAATTTTAATGGACTATGAAACTGCATACCTAAAACTTTTCTAGAAATTCTAAATAAAAAGCCAAAGCGACAGAATAAGATGCTTTTTTTTAGAAATGATCTATCATTTTCTGATAGTCATTTTCTGATAATAATAATAATAATAATAGATTGGCGCTTACACATATGTTAGTGTTTGGCCGAGCTTCTCCTCCGACTTGTGGTGTGCGCCTTGACGTTGTCACACAAAGCGGAGGGACCTACAGTTTTACGCCGACTCCGACCCTGCAAAAATCGCGACTACTCCATGCATGCGTGTAAAGAGTACTCCCTGAGGACCAAGGAGTACTCCAAAATTAACCACAATTCATATAAAAAATATGGTCCAACATATTAACAATGGCATTGTTGTTATATTTTTTTGTTTGTACATGCTTTTGTTCTTCACTTCTCAAATGCTTTTTCGAAATTAATAAAAACCAAGACAAAAATTAAAAATTACATGTTGCCTTTGACGGAATTCGAACCCGAACATGCTGGGAGCTAAGAACTAACAGCGAGCATCTCTACACGTTCAGCTACAGCCAGACATGCAAATGTGCTTTCAAATGCTCAACTTCAATCACATTTCGTTAAAACACGAGCAGTGATCGGATAACAAACAATAAGCTGGCGCAGAGACACGAGTTGGCCGCTACAGCATGACAGAGGAACACTTTTGTAAGTACTCCAATTTACCACAAATAGACTACATGGTCCAACGATTTTTGCAGGGGAACGGCGATTGTATTTTTATGAGACTCTGTTTTTCATGGCAGAGATACACTCGGAGGTTTGCCATTGCCTGCCGAGGGACGACCGCTGTTAAGAAAAAACCTTTTTCTATATTTTTTTTGCGATGTTGCTTTGACTAGGGCTTGAACCCAGGTGCTGATGAGTGAAAGCGCGCACTGCTTACCACTACACCACAGCGGCTGATAGACATTGATAATTTTCGTGTTGATGTATATTACTTACTTTAACCAGCCATAAATTTAATAAAGAACGCTGCTTTTAATTCTAAAAGCTTCAGTGCTCGACCACCCTTTTCACCTTTTCAAAATGACTATGACACAGTTTGTAATGTCTTTTTAAACAACACATAACATTGCGACTCATAACGCGATTGCAGATCACGCATTGCGCACACACATCCATGTTTTCTATGCAAAAAAAAATGTATTTCCCATTCCTCCCGAAACATTTTATGTGTGTATTATTCGAATAGTTGCGCAGTGAAGTCTCAGCAGCAACTAATTTGATTTGCTTTGCCGAAGTGCTAGCAAAGCATCAGTCAATCGTCAATTATCGTAAGACGCACGAAGACGATCATATCATACATGTGTCGACGTCGCAGCAAGCAATGTTGTTTTTTGTTGTAGAAAATGCCCATTCATTAATGCGCAAATGAACAAATTAACAAAAAAAGAAGTTTCAAGATCTGAAAGTTTTTTAGCTTACGGTGGTAGAAGTAGTAGAAATATAATATAGCAAAAAAAAAGTGTTATCTATTCCACAAATGTGGTAAAGTCCGAGCACTGGCTGTTGAGCAAAACTTCGCTGCTTCGCAACAAGCGCATGTGTGAGTGCCCACCTCCGTATTAGAGTGGCGAGCAGTTGGTTGGTTAGGTTAGTTGAATACCGTGAACTTGTTAAGTCGCATTTACATATCAGCTAATAAATATACACGTATAGTAGTACACAGCATTACAGCATAAGAATTGTATTATTGAACCACTGGAAATCAAGTAAACGGGTGAGTTATTACAGTGGCGACGAGGATGGGATCAAGAAACACCGAAAATTTGTCTCGAGTTGAAAAAATGTTTGCATGCCACAAGTAGCGAGCACAAATATGGCGGCGGTTGCAGCCATTTTTGTTTTCGCTGCTCTTCGGGTTGACTCGTAAAATTCGAAATTGCTCGTTTCTGTGCTGAGTAACGAGTACATGTTTCATTCCAGATTTGCAATAATGTGACACATTGGATTGTTATTAGTACAGGGCGTACGTAAACGAGTACACACGCAAGTGGAAAATCCTTTAAATCAAAGTACATATATATATACGATTACATTTCAGATCAGATAGTGACGAATTCAATTTTGTCAGCAAGCAATACACTGAGGGCGACAAATTAAATTTTGTCAGCAACATCAGGTGTAACGACATTCCAACAACAGCATACACATTAATACGAGGTGGAAAGAAATCCACAAGTACAAATTTGGCAACTAGTACGTAAAATACGAAATAGAACTAATGGAAATTCGTCCATTTTTGTGTGACAATATAGACAAAGCCCTTGTACGGTCGGAATGGGAAAAGTGGTTTCGATCCTTTTCCCTATATCTTCAGGCCGAAGACATATGTAAGTGATGTAGAAAGGCCCACAACTCCAAGAAGTAGCCTTTAACATTCCTGGTGCTTTAGTCTAGACGAACGAGGAAGTAAACCCCTTTGAAGTATTGGTGGCTAAGCTTAACGAATATTTCTCGCTAAACGCAACTCCACTTTCGAGAGACACCTATTCTGGAATTTGTCACCTATTGAAGGTGAAAACTTCCATAAATACTTGTTACGTCTTCGACATCAGGTGTCAAAGTGTGAGTTTGGCAAAACGACAGCGGAAATAAATGAAATTTGTATTAAAGATAAAATTATAGACTCATGGGATCCAGTCGACCTGAAGAAAAAACTGTTAGAGAAAGAACAGAGTTTAAGCGAGATTGTAGATACCTGCCAAATTTATGAACAAATTTGCAAACAGTCGGGGTCAATGTTTGCAACGCCAGTCGATGGGTCTGTTAATCGAATTTCTGCAAAGGTGCGCGGGCCGAAACAAGACAATGATGAGTGTGGCAGATGCGGCCACAAGGGACATCTTAGTAACGACTCGAAGTATCCGGCGAAGTTTTCGAAATGCAACAAATGTGGTCTGGTGGGACATTTTGCGAGGAAATGTAAAACAAAGAAACTTAAAGGCACGGACAACGTACAAGGTTCTCCTAATAAGAGGCGCTCTGAGACATACAAAGTACGAAATGTGGAAAAGGATGAAGAAGAGTCATATTGTTTCAAAGTTTTCAATAACACATCTAGGGACGAAAAACTCCTATGCGGCATCGGAGGTTATACCATATCGATGATAATTGATTCGGGTACACGTCTTTACTTATTGAGCGAAAGTGACTGGGAAATACTACGAAGAAATGCAGTAGCGCTATGGAATGAACCGGAAGATTCGTCAACTCAATTCAAGGCCTACGCTTCAAATCAGGCTTTAAATGTTCTTCGAGTATTTGAGGCACCAATAACAGTAAATGGCAAGTCAGAGAAAATCGCTATTGTAAAAATGGGAGACGATGGTTGTGTATTCAACAAGTGGACTCGTTTGTTTTATTTTCCATGAGATACATGGCTTAACTAGGGTTGCTTAGTCTGGTTACTCATTCGCAGTATAGTAGTAATAGCATTTATGTCATATAGTAGTAGATAGTAGTACATTTAAGTTACATGTAAACATAAGTATTTAAGGATTTATTTTACAAATATTAATATACAACATCTTCCTCTTATATAAAAATATGTGATTCATACAAAGTAGCTATAAAAGCCTTAGTATCATTAGATAGTTACAAATCAAATCTGTTCGGTGGTCGAACTTTTCTTCCTTTTTTAGTTGTATACATTTCATTGGATTTATTAGTATTATTTGTTATGTTCGAATTCTCAAAATTAATATTTCTATTTTCTACAGCTTCCTATCCTCTATTTTCTATTTCGTTACTTTCACTTACATTTGTTGGGCTATTATTAATTGTATTACTTTCTTCAACATTTTCTTCAAGTAAAGGTTTTTTTAGAATATGTTCTCGGCTTCTTCTGTATACGCCACCTTCTATATCTTGAACAATGTACGACCGTGGTTCCATACATTTTTATTTCTTATACATAACTTTCTCCCCTTCATTAACTGGTTTTAGATTTTTAGTTTTCTTGTTAAACATCCTGGCCGATTTTTATTTTGTCTTTCGATTGCATTGCG